TCTCTTACTCACGATTATCTGCTGGTACAGTGGACTCGCTCATCGTGAAATTTTGTACCCATTTTCAATTCCTTGGCCGTGCAAGTGTCTGGAACGATCGCTTTTGTTTTGGACCGAAATTCCGCCTCGCACTTGTCGGTCAAGCAATATCAAAAACCTATTCAATCGGAACAGTTACAGGCTAAAGTGTGTTCAAAGCGAGCCCCTGTTTTATACGAGAAATACAAGAAACTGCATGGTGTACCACTCAGGATATCTTCTGTTACGTAACAGCATTTCGCCTTCCGAACCGTTATATTTACAGTCAAGATGAAGCATTTGTCTCGCTTGGTTTTTGCGCAGGCCATCAGATCCTCGTCGAATAAACACGGTTGATGTGTTAGGACACCCTGATGGCTCTTAACTAGCTAACTGTTTCACCAATGCGTCAAGAGGGAAGGCGGCTCTTTTGTAAAATACCTTGACAACAATGTTCGTGAATGCATCATCCTTGGTGGCTCAAGCCGGCCTTTTATAATTAGCGCTTGTCTTGTCATTTTAGTTTTGACATTTGACGATTTAGTTAAAGGTACATCGGGTTGGCGAGGCCAATGGAGATATTTCATTTCATCTAGTACCTTCTTTCGCCTCCGAGCCAAGGACTTGCATGTGCGCTGTAACTCATCTCTCGAGTCGTCAGGCATAGGGAGGGAGCATTCACTGGGAATAGACCTCTTGAGCTTGTATGCTTTGTTTTCCCAATAGAGGTCCCAGGAAAACTTAACCCTTTGTCTTTTCATAAATTATACATACATATGCACGTGAACAAGACAAATTTTGAAAGAAACAGTTCTCTGGAGTATTATCACACGACCTGTATTGGGAAAACAATTAAAACATACAAGCTAAAAAGGACTACTAGTCAGAATTAAGGCCAGTGATACGCGCGCGAACACTGGGAATACTTCATGGAAGGTGCAGTAATTACGTACTCGTTGTTTTTGTATCAGCAAACGAGTTAGTACAGTGAACCAGTAAGTTTTCTAATACAAAAACGAGTGAGTAAATACCGTACTAAGCACACTTTCTCTCGGTAATCAGTTTATGACTCACATAAGTTACATGTTTACAAATTGTCAAAAATTGTTAGAAATGAAAATTTGCATATTAAGTAAGTTACATTTTTCAAAATCGTCAGAAATGAAAATTGTTTAAAAAAAGTGAAAAAGCGTTCGTAGATATCCGTATGTTATCCGTATGTTTCACGCGTGGATTCGTATGTACAGTAACTGCTATGGGCGTGGCGTGTTAGCCAAGATCTTTTTAAAGATGATCGTGTTAACTGATAAACATAAAAGACTTCGCGCTACGGATTAAAATGAGTATGAAGAGGTAGTAGAAACAATTAACTGATGATCAAGTTGTATAAATCAATATCTGATGCTAGAAAATATCTGATAGCATTTTATTGAAGGAGAATGAAGAAAGCCGGGAGATTGACAGGGAGAGACGAAGTAAGTCTGACAATCTACAGGGAGACGGAGAGTTTGGAGTTGTAAATAAAGGGAGCTATCGAGGACAGGATGGAAGGATTTATGATGTCACAGCAAAGCAGTTTGAAGGTATTAAATGAATTAAGGACACAGAAATTCGGTTATAATTTTCTTGTACACCCTTTACTTCAATTTCTCTTCCTTTTTTATGCAGTTATTTTTAAATATCACCGCTTTTTTGTTTGATTTCGTTGCGAAGAGCCTCTTTTCCGTGTATTAAAGGCTAGTTCCTTTTAAAGTATTGCTGGTTCTCACTGTCACACCATCAAAATTAAAAAACAAAACCCATCAATAGATAAAATCCAGGATCTGGGAAACGAAATGAAGTAAATATGCAAAGATCCTCGCAAAGATTCAGGTCAATACCATTGGTGTCCATCCGGAAAACGTCTTCGCCTTAGCGGCCGTTTACTCCCGGGAGCTGGGATATTTTCAAGCTACGGTCTTTGTAATATCTCCTAGTAAAACTTAATTTGAAAGCATACTTTTATGGTGATGCAGTGTTCTCCGCTATGCAGACATTAGCGATGTACCAGCTTGAGATGTCTACAGTATACGAAGTCACGCAGACACCATTTGTCGGATCTTTTGGTTACTATATACTAGATTATGTAGATTATAATTGACTCAACCCTCATCCTCATCTAATGTTTTTTTTTTCCCACCCTCTTTAACCATATTCCGTATGTACTGAAAACAGCGCATTTTAATTCTCGTTTGTGGCTCAGTGAGTAACCAGGCCTGAAGGAAGTGTCATACGTTGATCATCTTACACATGCTTCAAGAAGTGTTCTTGTCAGTAAATTGACACTCTTTCATGAGCAGCATGATTTCCCGTAACTCTTTCGTGGGAATTGTAGATTATATTCATAGTGATCTTTTCGTTGTAAAGGCAAATAATGTCAATCCCTTCTGACTTAAGAGTGTTTTTGTGTACTGGAGATCTGCGTCTCAAATGAAGAAAATTACACTTGGAACTTTAAGTACCAAGTGTAAGAGCAAACTTAAGTCCTGCTTATAAGATTACTGTAGCTGATCAGAAGTATTCGAAGTATGTTTTTTTTCTTAACTCAAACGTTGTGTAGTTGTTTTGAATTCAAAATCTGTTCTACTGCTTTGAAATTTTAGTACATTTTTTATGACTTGCAAGTAATAAACCTACGGCCGATTCCTAACGATATACCGTAAATCTGTTTTTTTCAGGGGAATTTTGTGTTCATCTGTCAAAAGAGCGGTCTCGAACGAGTGAGTTGCCTCGTCCAACACCCAGTGACATTCCTGCAAAAAGAACATTGAAGTTTCTCAAGCTGATGCCTCGCGCTTGTGACAGCGGCAAAGATACTAGGACTAGCGTCGGACAAAACAATGCTTTGGAGCGAGAAAGGTACAAGTAGTGTACGTACATTCAGTGTAATCTTTGCGTGGGAGGATCGAGAATATTTTATTTTCGTTTTAAAAAAAGGATAAACGTACTTTAGTCTCATATTATTGACGTCATCCTTGTTAAAATCTATATTAAAAACCAGAAGCATATAGCCCTGAAACGTATAGGGGGTTTTATGGAGAACCAATCAAAATTAACTTGATATCAGCATTTTATACTGAAGAAGCCACCGTGGCTAAATAACATCTATTATTATTATTATTATTATTATTATTACTTCCTAATATAGAATTACTGACACGCGAGACTGTCCGGCAAGTGTTTATTATGAAAACCCTGTTTCAATCACAATTTTACGAAGTAAAAAAATGGGAATATTATTCCCAAAATGGTCAGGAGTGACTTCTACCGGACAAGATAAAGTGGAATAATCACGATCAGCATCTTTCGGGAATGGCTTTACTTGTTGACACGAAAGCTAGCGCGCGCTTAAATAAGTATGCGTGAATATTGCGCGTTTTTTTTACCTCGTAGTTTTCTAAGGTTGTTATCTTAATATTAAGAAAAATGTAAAAAGGCCGCTCAGGATAACATAAAATGTTTTACAATTCACATTGAGACGGAAAACTACTTATCGAGCAAGACGATTTTTTTTTACGGAAAGTCAAGAGGAGGTTAGACACGGTCGCAAGGTATCATGGGACGAATTATCGAATCGACCGTCGTTGGACTCATTTGCATCAAACCTTCGAGAAGTGTAGTCTGCTACACAGCCGTTTTTAGTGTCGTCACGCAACGGTCCTCCCCACTACGAGCAGTGGGGATCTCCAGTTTTGCCGAATGTTACCTGAAAGAAGTGCTGAATCGTCTTTTCTTCCCTTCTTCTTGCCTAGTTAGTATTCTTTGCTCACAACAAATGGCAAAGTATTATCCTAAGCGTAGGATTTACTCGGACGATCCATCGAAGACTCAAAACATGCGTGGAAAATGACTGTAACATTTTCGTTCACAGCTATTTTGCAGGAGAAGCTTTTTCCGTCGCATTTTTCAGGCATAGTTTGGATACGGTTGCCGTTGCTGTCTGTACATCTAATTCTCGGGTTATAATTCCGATATAGGTCTTGTTCAATTTGGATTCTTTTGTGCGCGGAGGACACAAAGAAGTCGAGTTTCTATCGATGAAGTTTGTATTTTATGACAATTTCATTGCACGGTTTTTTGGTGTCGCTCAACTTTAAGATGTTAGATAAAGATAGATAATTTATTGAAACACGTCGCAGCTGTACATGGCTGAATTGTGTATTACGTATAAAATTTAAAAGGCATTGAAATCTTTAACTCTCTCTTATACGAGTGTCAAAGAAATAAAACTACAACAGTCAAGTCTGGGGTAAACAGGGAAGAGCTCCAAAGTGAACCCTTCCATTTAATAACGTTTGTCCAAGGAAGGCACTGCCTAACCCCAGACGAAAAAGTCTCCAGGAGGGAAAATCCAAACACAAGAAGCTAGACGCTAAACTGCGTGCATTCTGTCTTTAACTGGGATGTGTATATAAGACCTATAAGCATCTTACTGTCAGTCTCCTAAACGCTTAATCAGTTCTGCAGGGATCTGAACTTGAAAAGCCAGAGTGGCCCCGCCCGAACGAAAGCTATGTCTACTAACTTGAGACGGGTCTATGTTCGTCTTGGCTGCCAACAGCTTTAGAAGGGAGTCAAACTTTCCATAAGTCAGAGCAGTCAGGCCTTCTTCAGTTGATGCTGGGATGGAGGCTGGACCCCATAAAGATGCTGGTACCAAGCGAAAGGTATTTCTGAGAGCTGTATAAGGGCAGAGTGGATGCTGGGCAATGCGAGGTAACGGAACAGTTAAAATGCGCTGACTAAATTGGATGGTCTTTGACCATCGATTGATGATGCTGGCCCAGTCAGTAAAGAAGAGTATGTCTCCCCGGCGTAGGTGTTTGGCCGGGTCAAACTGTGTGAATCCTATGCATTTCAAATTCGCCTTACGTAGGAGGCCAAAGAGCGTTACTAGGCAAACTGTATGCAAAGGGTTGTCCAAATATAAGTGAATCTTGAAGCTAATTGGAAATGGGGTGTAATGGTTTCCTTTGGGACACTGTTAAACCTTTTAGACGCTTGTTTCCTCGAAGTGTAGTTGCCAACTGAGAATTGTTTTTGGATGGGTCAGTCAGACCATGTTCCAGGTGTAGAAGGCGAACCGCATTTATATAAGCTGGAAGGAGGTTGCTGAGAGTGACCTTGCCAGAAAAGCTGCATAGCGACTAAGGGTTAATGCTGCTGCTGGGAGACGCTGGTAACCGTTAGGTTTGCACGCCTTTGACTCACGTACTTGGACTTGGTAGTAGGTACATATGTTTGGCGCCGGAAATTGGTGACTTCACGGTCAAGTTACTGCTGATCCCTTGGATCTAAGGAGAGAAAGAGACAAGGGGGACATGTAAGATTCTAAGTCATTTCATCCAGGTAGGGTGTTGGTTGTTCCTGGGATATGCTTGACGAGTAAACTGAAGTTGCAATACTCCTTAAGCCAAAACAGAGAACGAATCCAGTCCATGATCACCGGACAACAGGTTGAGCCTTTGTTTAGAATGGCTGCGGCCACCTGACTGTCTGTCTTGATGATTACTCGATGACCTGACCAGAAAGGTGCCCAACTGTGTGCAGCTAAAACAGTGGTAAATATCTCCTTGTAATTGATATGGAGAGAGTAAAGAGATGGGTAATCCAAGGCGCAGTTGGCATATATCCAGTCTCTTCCCCATAGGCACCCCCCGCTAGACAGAGAGGCATCAGTAAGCACAGTTCTGTGATGGCTGAGGGGAACAAAGTTTTACAGTTGTGTGCTGGTAAGAGGCAGATCCACCACTGAGGTCGGCTCTTGGATTTATATCTTGAAGCATTTTTAAATTTTTATTAGTCGAGTCTATTTTTATTAGTTCTAAATATTTTGTTTACGACTGAGGGCCACTAGTTCATCAGTGTTTACTGTCATATGTTACCCTCATTAAATAAAGGTGCTACCACCTACCTACCTACCTACCTACCCATGTTTAGATAGAGGCGATGGTAAGGGCATTTAACCGAGTTTGCCAAGGTAATAAGACGCCTCAGAAATGCGCGCCCCCTCGGAACAACACGTGCTGCCAAATTAAGCTTGCGAAGGAGTCGTTGTAGGTGAAGCTTGGTACATATGCGTTTTGAGCTTGGTACCTCGAGAAGGGATAACTCAGACACACGATCGTCTAAGAGACGTAGCTCAAACTGAACAGTGTCGATTTCAACTTCAAGAAAAATCAGACATTGAGCGCTGTAGACAACTTTGGACCAGTTGACAGTGAAGCCGAGAGACAGGGTGTCAAAAGTCACTTTGCAGAGACTTTGGGTTGGTTCGATGATAACGAAGTCATCGAGATATGCCAGCACAGTATACCCTCTCCGGGCCACCATACGAATAATCGCTTGTGCGAGGCAATTAAACACCATTGGTGGGGCCCTAGCTCCAAATTGGAGACGCTTATCATAGAGGTAGGTGGGGTGTTTTGAGTCGTTGGAGCACTACGACGTTCCTGTATCTCGCCAGCCGTCGGGGTGTGTGCCAACGCTTCTGTATGCATGTTTTAAGTCAACTTTTGCCAACCAACGACCAGGTTGACAGAGATTTGCTGCGTCATCAACAGTAACATACTTGTAGTGTTCTAAATCCATATATGAGTTAGAATTCATCATTCAGGGTCGGCTACAATCCATGATCATTCGTAATTCATTAGAGTCCTTTTTTGGTACAGCTTCAAGGGCGTTAATGATAATGGGCATGTTGGCCTTGTCTGCTATAGCAAAGTGATCTTCTCGGAGACCTTTGACTAATTGCGCTTCAATTTGATTTTTAGCTCCAGGCCGCAAAGCAGACTTATTGATATGTGTAAAGGCATGTGAAACCATTGAATCAGGAGAAAGGAACTTAACACCATCCAAGATAAAGTCCATGTCCGGGTCACTGTTTAGATCTGTTGCCCAGGTCTCAAAAACTAAGTCTGTGGAGACCTTGACTGCTTGGGACTGCTGCTTAAATTCTGAGAAGGGCCCTGCATGAATAGGTAAACTTTCCCCACACTCTGCGGGAAGTGGTGTCCTTAAGACGGGATCAGTGCCGGCATTTAACAACGTGATCGTGACAACTCCTGCTAGTTCTGTAGTCAAAATACCACTCGGAGGAATATCTGCAGTTGAGTGTGGGCTTAGTATTTGGTTCTTGAGCAGTAGCAGACTGGTGCTGCCATTGTGGGTGGGTTCCCATGCAATGCAGTTTGATGTAAACATGATCATATTTACAGGAAGAGACAAAGCGGCAACCTTCACGTCGTTGGTAATCGTAGCAAACTTCCTTCCCTGTTGCTGGGTTTAGGACTGGGCGGGACGTTTTGCGGGGAGGTGCACGTGGGCGCGGCGGTGTGGGAGTTGGATCTGGTCTGTGGAGTTTAGCGGGAGATGAACTGGCTGTCAGTACCCAATTTAAATTTTGTCGAAAACTGCATTCTGGGGTACAAATCATCATATTGCATCACTTTCGATAAAGGGTAACACTTTGCTAGTTCAGATATCTTTGAAAAATACATAATATATTGAAGGATGTCCTGGGAGGACGAGAGAGACCCATCTGTCATGAGAGTATGCATAATACGAAAGTTAGCAGCTGACCATTGTGAGAATGAGATTTTTTCAAGAGAGAGTTTCTTGTCCTGAGCGGTTTTTAATACAATCCTAACATCGCCAGAGGTTCCAAGCACGGTCTCCTTAACCTCGTGTAGTGCTAAGGGGAGGGAACTAATGAAATCTGGGATGAGAAGAGGACGTTTACTTCGCGAAGCAAAGGGCTTAAACAGCGGTTGCGCTGGGTCTTGTTCCGCTTCGGTTAAACCCAGTAAGATGGGGTCTCCTAAGGAATCCATGAGAGATTTGAGCTCAGATTGAACAACTGGGTCTTGCTGGAGACTTTTCAAGGTTGTGTTTGCGACAAAAATTACCACCACGTGTTGCTGTTGCGCCCAAGATGTTGATCTTGGGCACACTCTGTTGCGTGGACTCTCGCTGTAGCTGCAACAGCTCGAGTTTGGTGCGAGTAAGATCCAGTTCAAGCTGTAAATCGCGGTTTCGAAGATCTTTGGTCGCTCTGTCGTTTACAGTGGGTTGTTCTGCCTTAAAGCTTGTTGTAGTAAGTTCTTTTATCAAAGACTCAACCTGACTCAGTTCGCGTTTGACTGCTACGCTCATCTGTTGAGGTGTTGTGGATTCTGCTACAAAATCATCCGCGACGAAATTTTTTCAGTTTTATCGGATGTTTCGTTCTCCTGCTGTTCTTTCTAGTCGTCATAGTGTAAACAACGACAACAACACACCATAATAAACTATTCTGGGAAATAAACTTGTGTTCAGCGAAGCTACGATATGTACAAGCACATGGCAAAAAGCTGCGTAGAACGCATGACCGAGAAAGAAACTAGTGCCAATCCTCCCTCCCTTCCGCTAGAGTTAAATACAAATAAATAACAATTATTCACCGAAGTGGAGGTGGCTAGTATTGGCTATTTACCGAGGCCGCGAAGAGGCGAGGTAAATACCACTACTAGCCACCGACACTGAGGTGAATAATTGTTTTAGTATATACTAAAACAGTGAGATAATTGAGCAAAAAATGATGATTTTTAACTCATTTACTGTTGCCAACGATTACAATTTTGACGCGCGATGACTGAACGCCGGCGGTCGTCGCTTTTTCTTAGCGATAAATAAAACTTTTGAAGGCGTTTGTTTAGCTCTTGCGGGGAAGTTTCTTCAAAAGGAGTTGTGAATTCTGTTTGTATTTAAAATAATTCTGTAAAAAAGATTATTAAATTTAGTTTTAAGTTAATTATGAACAAGTCAACTAAATAAAGTAACGCAAGACTTATGCTTAATTTGCATTTGTAAACAAAAAACTTTTTCACCGGTTTTATCGATAAGTATTCAAGTCAAAAAGACAAAGCTTTACCCGTCAAAACTTCGAAACCGAACTTCGTCACCTTCTTCATGTATTTCGGAAATAGCTTGCTTGATTATTTGTGAATTTTCTTAGTTTGTTACGTCAGCGAACCGGGAAAGCATTTTGCTCGCAACCTACGCGAGTTTTGCGTCGCTCGCTTGGAGGAACTGGAGGTCAATCAGTGAATAGTGCAGGAGATTCACTGATTGAATAGCCAATCAGAGCGCCCGAAAAACACTATCCGCTGTTTTAGTATATACTAAATAACAATTATTCACCGAAGTGGAGGTGGCTAGTCCTGGATATTTACCGAACTGCGAAGCAGTGAGGTAAATATCCACGACTAGCCACCGACACTGAGGTGAATAATTGTTTTAGTATATACTAAAACCGTGAGATAATTGAGCTCAAAAATGACGATTTTTAACTCAAATACTGTTGCCAACGATTACAATTTTGGCGCCTAATGACCGGGCGGCTGCGGCCGTCGCTTTTTCTTGCCGACAATTAAAACTTTTGAAGGCATTTGTTTAGCTCTTGCGGGGAAATTTCTTCAAAAAGAGTTGTGAATTCTTTTTGTATCTAAAATCATTCTATAAAAAAAGATTATTAAATTCAGTTTTAAGCTTATTTATGAACAACTCAACTAAATAAAGTAGGCAAGATTTAAACTTAATTTGCATTTGTAAACAAAAACTTTTTCACCGGTTTTATCGATAAATTCGTGTCGAAAAGACAAAGCTTTACCTGTTAAAACTTCTAATCCGAACTTCGTCACCGTCTTCGTGTATTTCGGAAACAGCTTGCTTGATTAGTTGTGAAATTTCTTTGTTTGTTTACGGCAGCAAACCGGGAAGGCATTTTGCTCGCAACTTACGCGAGTTTGGCGTTGCTCGCTCGGAGGAACTGGAGGTGAATCAGTGAATAGTGCAGGATATTCACTGATTGAGTAGCCAATCAGAGCGCGCGAAAAACACTATCCACTGTTTTAGTATATACTAAATGCAATTATTTTAGACAAAAATATGTACAATCATGAAGGCAAATACATTTAAAAAATAAGATTCAAGTTAAAAAATATCACCTAAGCTACCATTTAGAACAATTATGATCTAGGAAGACTTATCAGACTGTTGACGTGAAGCCATTTAAAAACAATTATTGAACCTAGCTATTGTTCTTACAAAGCGAGAGATAATACGTGCGCGGGGCGCCTTAGTTTGAATTGTGTGGAAAATACTGGCGGCAAAAGCTTTCTCTGTTTATGCTGGCTGTCGCTAATTATATTCTTAAAAGTGCGTGGACAAATGTTGCAATGATGTTCTACAATTGTCCGGAGGCCTTAGTAGCCTATTAAGCGCACGACACTACATAATTTTCCCATTGCACTGAATTATCAGACTGATTGGATGATCTCCACCCTCTTTGCACCTTACGATCATGCACCTGAACACACGAGCGACGACATCAACGTTTAAGAAGTTCTTACTGCATGACTATCAACAGTTATACGCAGCTAGACATTATTTCCCTTAGCGAAACTGGACCTAGCTGAGGGACCAGCCCCAAATTACTTCATGGGAAATGACAGCGTAAGAGTTTTATTTACGATTTGAGTAGTATCAGAAAAAGAACGAGTGAGCGAAGCTAAGCGAACGAGTGAGTTTTCTGATACGTATTATCTTTGTTTATTTCATAGGTACTGAGATTTGTTCGTGTAATTTCGTAGACAAATTGCACAAATGGGGCGATCAAAAGTGTAACAAGTAGTCAATTTAAAATCGCTCAACAACAACTAAGTTAATGAAAGCCTATACAATTTAGAACACTTACTGTGTTGTTCAGCCAGAGCGTGTTTTTAAAACAGTGCCTTAGGACTACACATAACGAGCAAACCCTTCTCGTACAGTATTTTTAACTCTTCGCTTGTCAAAGCTACCGATGCTTTGGTTTATTCCCTTATCTTTTTTTTCTTCAGCTGTTTTTGCTTGGATTGAAAAACTTTTCTAGTTTTCACAAAGACCAAGTTGTTGATTATGCTGGCAGAATAGTCCTTTTTCTTCAACTATCGTTCGAAGCTGGTCATTAAACTTCGACGCGAAGTCGGCTTGTACTCGTTGCCATCTTTAGTGTGGACAGAGATGATAAATTCGCTAATGTGTCTACTCAGCTCAGCCGCTGAAATATCTTCAATTTTCCTGCATTCGTCTTTCATTTTCAAAGATCTTTCAAGCAATCTTACATCTCGTTCAGTTTTTGAGCGGTATTTTTGTTTTCGTGTTCCAACATAAATTTTTCAACCGAGCAAACAGAATTAAACCTTCCCTCGGCCATTTTTCAAAGCGCACAGCCTTTTGTGCAACGGCTTACGGGTGACGTTCTCTTCAATACGTTCATTCATCATCAGTGAATCATCATCAGTGAAATTTCATCGTTCGCTTTGCTGATTGGACTAATGATAGTTTCTTACAGTGAAATTTTGTCGTTCGTGCTCCTGGTTGGCTACGAGCAGAATCAGAACGAATTTTATTCACTATGATTTTCGTGGATAAATCTCAGTACCTATGAAATACACCTGGTTTTGCAACCGAGTTCAGAACTAGGCAAGGTTTGAAGGGCGTGGGCGTTGGAGCCTACATAAAAAAATATCATTAAATATAAGGGCCCACTTGACAAAGAGAAATTCCACCCAGAGATAAGACTGTTCACAGTCCCCTATTTTTCTGTAAGATCGTGGAGATCGAGCGCTTTGCGTTACGGGCAGCCATCTTGGATGAGTGTCAAAACCACTTTCTCTCGCCACCAGCCAAACTCTCCTTCGCCCTTTTCATCTCCCTGACAAGATTGTAGTGACGTCGAGCGCAAGTCCCTCTGTGTTGTACCAGCAACTCAGGCGTTTGGTTGGTCATTAGACAATAGATGTTACTTTGATCTGGTTTTACCACTGAGTTAAAGCATTTCGATGTGTGTATATTTTATGTGAATCTGGAGTTATTCTGACAAATACCCGCCGAGAAGCAAGCAACCGAAATCGGGCAAATTTTGGCTTCGCGAAATACCTTTTTTGAGGTTTCCGGGTATCGGTGACATTTTGCCTCAATATTTAAGGTATAATAAAAAAGATTTAGAACCAAAGAAACTTGTTCTCTTTAATCTTATGTGAACCTTGTTTTATGGCCGTGACAAATTTTGAACGGACTCGAAATTTTGATCATAATCAAGTGGTCGATTCTTACTCGGACAGCCTTTTAAAAGTTTCGGATTACATACTGGAATAAGTATGGGGTCAGACAGCGAGAGCATTTAGTTTATTATACCTATATTTCTATTATACCTTAATAATTTTTCTGATTATAGAAAAAATATTTCTAGTATCTTATTAAAGGAGAAGGAAGAAAGCTGGGAGATTGACGTGGATAGATTAATAGTGTCTGACGTAGTACTTGGAGAGGGACAGTTTGGAATTGTTAATAAAGGTAGCTACCGGGGACAAGATGGAAGGATCTACGATGTCGCAGTAAAGCAGTTGAAAGGTACTATTATAAATGAATGAAAGGCACCTAATTTTTTTTTGTTCATTTATCAGCCTTACTTTTAAAGGAATGAGTAGACATGCTGCAACAAAACCTGTGTTGGAGAAGAAATGTACATAATGTACATCACTATATTTTTCTTGCATTTACTTCTTTGTGTCACGCCTTCTTCTTTTCAAATGTCCTCTCCTCTAACAGGGCCCCCAAGAACTCCCACGGAAGGCTTGATGCAGGTCATCTGATGTAAAAAAATAAATAAATAAACAAATGATGATAATGATGATGATGATGATAAAGTATATATCTTGCCGCGATTTAAAAACATCGAACACAGTGAAAGCTAATCAGTGTATAACATGTTAATAAATTTATTGTATGTGGCTTTTCTATACAGATGGTACAAGCATGGCAGACAAAAACGATTTATTAAGTGAAATAAAGATGTTAAAACAAGCTGGACAGCATCCTAACATCATCAGCTTAGTTGGCGTTTGTATTCGAGAGGGTATGTTTTATCCTTATCAGTATTTGCTGTAATGAATACTCGGCTCCTTTTTTCTTTAATATATTTCTTTCTTATTTTTTATTATTATTTCAGAGAAGATTCTTGTTGTGACTGAGCTGGTTCCGTATGGTAGTTTAAAGAACTTCCTAATATCAAAACGAATAGCATGCGTTTCTGGTGAAGCGAGTCGTTATGTAAATGTACGGTTTGGCTTAAACGACCGGGCGTTACTTAAAATCGCGTTTCAAATCGCTTTGGGGATGCAATTCTTAGAAAAGAAAAAGGTAAGGGAATATACTTGTAATACCTTTTGCGTTCAAATATAATACCTTCTTTCCATTCTCAAAACGTGCTTAGCTCTTTGTAATATATCTTTAAAACATTTTCCTGTACCTTAGCACTTTCAGCATATGAAGGGATGGTTATTCTAGCAGATATTCTTCATATAGTAGTTGTCATCCGTGGAGGGGTATTTTTCTATATTTTTCCTCTGGGGCCGTCTGTCTTTGCTCTGTCTATATTATTACGAGCGACTTTCTGTAAATACCACGGATAGGTGAGCAAGAAGGAAAAATCGAAATCCCCCAAACTTTGTTACAACAAAGCAGTTTGGAAACTATTTTAGAAAATACAAGACCCAGTTCGATTGACTTTATATTTTCAAAAATAAACAATTTTTTCAGTGTTTACCTTCGAGAGGCCTTTAAACCACCGAAAAATGTGCTTGGTATCCTTGTCGCTTCTTGAATGGAAACGGAAACTAATACCGTGAGTTTTTTTTGATATAAAAGAACCTTATGATCCTTCTTTCGTATCTAAACGTTATAATTTCAAAAGATTTCTGTCTGATTTTGTATTTTTTTTTTCAAAATTACCCTCTAAATCAATATTATTGCCACCATCAATTTTAGGGTGTCAGTAAAACGCGGGGTCGGTCTCGGGCCTGGAGCGGGGTCTATCTCTCTTTTTAAAGAATGCTGTTTTAGGTTTAAGGTTAGGGTTAGGCTTGACCTAACCGTAACCCTAACCCTAAAACAGCATTCTTTAGAAAAAAGATAGAACCCGACCCGATCCCTACCCCGCGTTTTACTGACACCCATCTCAGTTGAAAGAGCAATGCTTCCCCTATCAATCTGTGAAATAAAAATTTGGGGCAATTGAAACTGCGAGTCAGTGACAACTGAAAACATTTACGGTACTCGCGTGAACTCGCGTGATGTACGACCTTTGAATTTGCAGTTGTATTGGTGAATAAAAGCGAGAAATTAGACAGCATTTGAAATTCTGGCCCGTTCGTCCCTTTTTCGCCAGTTTAAACACTAAAAATCGTTTTAGACTTCACAGTAGCAATTTTTGAAAAGGAGAAGTAATTTTAGTGTGTGAAAGTGAGCTATGAACACTTCCCTTACGTGCGTATTTGTTTACTATTACGGTATTTGTAACAGTTATCATTTATTTACAAAACGACTTTAGTGCCGTTAACTATTCTTTAAAATGCTCTCATTTCTCGTGAGACAGATCGTTATAGCTATAAAAAAGGAAAAACCTTTGACCTACCTCACGTTTTTTGACAACAGACCCGAAGCCTTTAGCGAAACGAGATTGAGTGACAAAGAACTTTGAGACCCAGGTTTTTCCGTGAAGACAGATACCATTCTGAAAAAGAAAGTCACGCGGCACCTTCCGTAACTATAAAAGCGAAACATGCAGATCTTCAAAATCCTTAGTTTCATTGAATTATCCGTTAAAGCGACCCTGAAAATGTAACAAAATATTTTCCGCAAGAGACTATGAAGTGCAGGTAAGCCCTCACAGTCTCTTGTTTTCCATAAACGCCTGCTTAGACTTTCAAGCTGTTAAAAAGCCTATTTTACAACAATTTCATTTTAAAATACGATTATGAATTCCTTACTTGTATTCTAAGAAAAATGACATTGAGGGGAGAAAAGTGGTAGGTCGTAGTCTGAACTGACATTGGTACGTCTTTTCGCCCCCACCCCCCAGTTCTGGCAATCTCGAGCAAGTTTTGCATTTCTGGGTAACGTTTGGGCAAAATGTAGGCTTATTGCACATGTCATGCCAGAAAAAGTGAGCAATTTGGTCGAAACTAATGTCAAGTACGCCTGAACTGCGCCCGTTTATTAAGCGCCGCTACTGACTCTGGCGGGGGACTGGGTGGGGAGGGGAAACTCTGGAATGGAGCGAAGGGGACTTAGCTCTAAGCATACAGCCTGTGTTTTATCTGTGCGTTTGCCTTGGCGATAAATTTCGCCCATATTTTCAAGCAATTCTTTAAAGACGATTGTAAGAGACGATGATAGAAGTGGTAAGCCCTCATAGTCTCTTGTTTTCCATGAACGCCTGCTGATTTACATTTCAGCTGATAAAAAAGCCTGTTAATTTTAAAACGTTCAGTTTCGTTTTGGGAATGAGATAATGAACGGCTTGTTACACAATAAATTAGTTTAGCTTGCTCTACTCGATTATGTTAATTCAAGATTAAGGTGGCTTACTACAGTTTTCGGATGAAAAACTATCGAATTTTTCAAACTGGAACATTTTTAGCAACTGAAGGTCTCTACTGAATTGTTATTCATTGCAATTGATGTAAGTTATCACTTTACTTTGTAAAAACATTTTATTACGTAGTTTAACGCGAAATATAGTGACCGAGTACCGTAAAAGGGAACTGGAAACTAGACCTTTAAAGGCTTTTTTCTTAAAAACTAGCCGTAGTCCTCAAAATTTGAACCCAGGTCGTACGGCTAGGTTTTGAGAAATTTAGCGTGGAAATGGTCTTTTTACGACCTCCATGAAGAAAAGCATTGCGCATGCCTCACCGTTCGGGGAAAACCCTGCTGGCGAGATGGCGCACACTCTGTTTTCCCGCCTTGGGACTGCCTTTGATTCGTAGCGCTGGCCGCCATTTGTCAAGCTAAAAATTACATGTGTTTGGACTATCCGGTCCTTGCATGGTCGTCGGGTACAGCGTGGTTACCACAACCGAACATTCACCACTGAAAAGGGAATATGGTGAAATTTAATAGGAATTTTTAAACCTCACTCCATTCTGGATTTGTGGACGATAGTACTGCTTCACTTCTGAAACCGAACCGCATTTTGTCTTCTTCGCATGGTACGGATATTAGCTTCATGGGGACGAAGTGGAGGGGGTCCCCCCCCCCCCCCCCGGGGGGGGGGGGGGGGGGGGGGGGGGTGGTAGGGAAGCTACTTCCCACACATTCTCTTAAATGAAATCCAAACGATGATTTTACAACTTGCAAAGCGATCATCCGATCATCATAGGTCTTGACAGCGGATTGTACAGATCATGCGCATTACGTCAAAAACAAGGATCAACGGTATTGAGAAGGAACAAAAACGTGGCGGTCAAAGGCGGGACTGTTTCTCTCTATTTTATTTTGGTAATTCGCAAATTTATTGATTTTATGTCGCTTTTCAGACATAGCACTGCGTGGTTTTCTTTTCTTTTATAACTGACAAGTTTTCTCTGCAGAGTTTGGAATATGCAACTTATAGCGTTAGCTGCGTATAGCTGATAAGAATTGGAACCGCCGAAGAGTTGAGCTGTCGGTGTTTTGCTGTAAACCCAAAAAAAGTTAAGGTCGCTTCAAGGTACAGAGCTTTCAGATATGGTGGTGATTTTTTTATTAGGATCGTTTTGAATTTTAACTTTGAATTCAAGGTCAGTTGTTGACTGATCATAATAAAGGAAGTGAAATGTTGTGATGTGTGAATCTGTTTAATCAGGTCAGTGTAAGCTTATATTTATAAAGCCCTCTTAAATAGATTTACTTCCCATGAATTTGACACTTTCTCCAGTAATTTTTATCGGCATCATAACTTCTATAATCTTCTGATGTCCTTGGCCGGCGAAAACGATATAACCTATATAAAATCGATCGATAGGCCAGCGCGCGTTGTTGTAGGTTAAGAAATTACACGGTTGCAGTGACTGTCGTTTGCGTTTGGTTTCCCTCGCACTTTCAGTACCAAAGGACAAATAAGTTATACGAGAAAAACAAAGAGGCATGATGTATTTTTTTAAAATTATTGAATTATTTCCTCTGCCGGTTCGCCTCTCGCTTGTAGGAGAATTTTCATTGATTGCTGCACCTCCATGGCACACGCGGGGAATACTAAGATATGGGCGAAAATAATTTCCGCGTATGCGAAGAAGTGCAGCATAACCGGGTTTTCGTCGCTGAGGGGAGGAGGGAGGGCAAAAAACGCAAGTATATATGCACTCTCGGGGCATGGACGCATAGAAAAGCGATCTGATCAGTGATCCTTATTTTGGCAAAGCATTTAAATACCCACTCAATACCCAGGGGTAATGCAAGGGTCCCATGAGGGAACACGTGCTAAATTATGGGGCCCGCGTGCCCATTTCGGAGCAAACATATCAATGAAAATACTAAAATATTTGCTGTGGGAAAAATATTGCAATTATTGCTATTATCCGCTGACCACCGCCCAAGATGACCGCTTTGCAACTAGTTGTGAGAACATCGTTTCTCGGTCCCAGACCTCGTCTCTTAAAAAACTATTCCTTAACAACATTAGGAGAAAAGAAGAGAAGAATCAGAGGGAAGTGACCCTGGTTAAGTGTCACAAATTGTAGTCGAGTTGTGTTCCTTTGTTCCTTCGGCTCGAAGCCGAATCATTTTATGTATATTTTTTTTCTCGTCTGTTGCAAAAGCGACTGTTGTATTTTACAAATCATAAACTAGAACAGATACTGCAGGTACAAAATCGATTATTATCCACCTTTTTGTAACGTTTTTCAGTTGTCGAAAATAACATAGGTCACACGTCAATGCGAAAGTTTCATATCTCGGCTTTGTAATATTCTTGAGCCGAAAACCTGCGAAAACCCAGCAGTAATAATAAAAAAATGTTTTACCCACATATATCTAAAAAGTTTGCTACAGAATTACTTCTTGAGAAACCCCAGAATAAAAGGGAAATTTTTCGGAAGTTTTTCATATTGTTTGATCTCGGGGTTTTCCTTGTCTCGCTCGCGCGAGTTTGTATGCGTGAGACACCTTGCGTGGCTTCCTTAGCGATTAAGATAAAAGAAAGTTTGATTCACATCACGACAACCAATTTTTTAGTATTCCTGGAAGAACACCTTTATGAAAGAAATTACACGAACTTTTTAATATTTACGCAACCGGAGTCCAGGATAAACGAAAATTGCAAAACAGGAGTCAAAATCAAGAAATTTTACAGCAAGTAATCGTTGAAAAGATTTTTTTTTACCCTTATTAGCGTAGACATAGAAATAAATTATTTTGCCGTAATTCCAGCTGAGTGAATGAAAAAATAGCATTATTAGGGAGAGTGCCATTTTTTTTTCTACTGATTGTCAAAGGTGTGGCAAAGTTTGGCTTGAAAATAACTTTATCCTGTGTTTTAATAAGAACTTACAACTCGTGTATTTTTGAATGTATCTGTTTCCGTAATCGATTCCCAGCACTAACGCAGGCTACTAGGGTGGGCTTGGAAAGCGAGATTTGCCCGAGATTATTATTACTATTATTACTTTTAATTTGTCATCCTTTATTTACTTACTAAGAAAGGTTGTGAACAGTCCATATGTTGATTCAGGGTCACATAGTAGCGTCAGGCACTTCATGAAAGATGATAGCATTGCTATGGAAAAAAATCTCAAAAGGAACAGTTTTTTAACAGTTAGTCCCGTGGCCCGAAAGGGCTACGGGTCAATAGCCCATTCGGCTTCGCCTCATGGGCTATTGACCTGTGGCCCTTGGGGGCCAAGGGTCTCATTGTTTTAGTTTCAGCCAACTAGTCGAACAAAAAGCAGGTAAGAAATACTTATTTTAAACAATTATTGGATGAGATTTTTGTGATACCCGGAATAATCAAAGTCGAGGTAAATGTTATCAGCCGAGCCGAAGGCCGAGGCTGACTCGTCGGGGTTATCTGCTTGATGATTTTTGGACAAAAAGGGGCTTCGAAACTCATAGTAACGTCCCCCTTGAGGTGTACTCTGAAGAACCAACATATCTGAGGTAAGTTTTCTGTGAATTTCATTCCCTTTTTTATCAAAATAAAGGGTTATGTAAAACAATTCAGTACGGAGGATTTGAGACGGATCCAAGGTATCCCACTCGCCGAGTTGCCCTTTACCGTTAAGCTGTTGCAGTTGTTCGCTCGTAATAGGATTTTTATGAAGGGTCGGCCCAACTTTACCCTCCTGCATCATTTGTTTGCAAAAAGCGTTGAGGACTTTGTTAGATTTTTGGAAGGCTGAGTCGCTGACTATCGACCATGGCTTGTTGTTGGGAGGTTGTCTTAAGTATCGGTTGACAGCTACCCGGATCGCTTTAAGAGACAAAACTTTGAACTCTGTGCCATCCTCTCGCTTGACAGCAGCGTAAAACATTGTGAGACTTTCATTTAACTCTTCTTTCTCCATCTCTTGTATAACTGTTTTGAATTTTGTCTGGCCTGCAAACCATTCTATTAAAAAATTTGACTACAATATACAACTGAAAACACTTATCGAAAAAAATTAATTTAATTTGTTTTGAATTTATGGTAACTTAAAACGAAACCACGTTAAATGTTCGCAATTTCGTCTAGTAAAAACAAAGTTAACTTACCATTTAATATCTTCATTCCATACTTCGTTGCTTTATTAGTATTTTATAGAATGGATATGTCTAGCAAGTTATCTAGAAACTCATTTGAAACCTGCGACAAAACGGGAAGCGGCCGCCATTTTGTTGGTCAGTTTTCAACAGGGCGGATAAAGGTTGGGCGGTGAAACGAGCGCATCCGAGAAAAAAGGTGTGATGCAGCGGACTGGAACTCTGCTTAGAGATGTCGCTTGTTTTCGACTTCGGTCAGGGCTTGCGATGTGGTTTGTACATTAGACACTGCCGGTGTCACTGAATTATGGCGGCTTGACTTGTTTTCTTGCACTTCTTCCTCGTTCCTTTGTGCTGGTACGTTGTCTCCGAGAGGCAAATGTTGCTATTTTTTGCGGGAGGTTTAGTTGGAGTAGATAAACATCTCTTTCAAAGGGTTTCTTTTATTACTTCCATGACTCTACCACTGAATTATATTTTCGTTCTGCTACTCGCCAATGTCGATGTTATTCCAAAACAAAAACAACTAAGTACTCTCTAAAACACGAAGGAAAATCTCATCCATGTCATCCATGGCAAAACTAAAGGACAGCAGATCGTGTTTCATAACTAGATGACGTGTAAATGCGTGCAGCTCGTGCAAGGTGAAATTATGCTAATTTCAATCGCCATCATCCTTCTTTTTAATTTTGAAAAAAACATCTCATACGTCTTTCTGTTTCTTCGAAACTTCAAAATTAGTTTCCCCTCAGTTTTTACTGTTTACCTTGTTTTGTTTTAGAGAGAAAACCGTGGAAAAAACTTTACAACTAACCTCAATAAATCTTGTTTACATGCGGTTGCCGGATTTGCAACGCATTGCGCGAATCGCCATGGCGCGTTGCACCCGAGAAGCAAAGTTTGAAGCAGTAGAACGCCACTATATCAATATATATCAATCTAATTTTTTGTTAAGTTATATGAAATTTATCCCCCTTTAGGCGATTAGGTGATATTTAGTGGCAGGAGGAGGTATTCAACACTTTCAAATTAAACTCGAATTTTGGCATTATACGACCAACAAGTTTGGCTTATAGACTTACAGACACAAACATATGAAACTGTTTATTGATATTGTTATGAAACGAATTTATCTATTTAACATTGTAGCCTGAAATTACAGAAACAAAATAGGGTTTCCGGTTTGCAAAAAGGAAAATTTCGCCGGCCCTCAAGCGCACCGGAAGCGCGGAAAGAGCGCTCGTGCCAGTCCTACTCCGCATCACACATTAAATGAAGAGCGGAGCGCTCGTTTCACCGTCCAACCTGTATCCGCCCTGCTAGAACTACTTATCTCCCGTTAACCCTCGTGAGGCTCGGCTTTTGAGTAGCGCCACTCAAGTGCAGTGTCGGGCGGGGTTAGGAACTGGAGGCTGACCCGCCGCGAATATCCTGTCATAAAGGTCCCTTCTTTATTCTTTCTGTATTGTCTGGCTTAATTTTGAAATCTGTATTGAAAAGCCGATCTGCTTTTCTTTTCTGCGGCTGTAAATTCTGTCGGGATCTATATCCACAATCTCCTTGTCTTACTCTGTTTTGACAAATGCATGAGCTCTTTTCATCAGCTCCGCTTTTTTTTTTTAAATCCTGTGCCCGTTTTGCCACGAGACCTCTATCAAAACTTCAATTCCGGGAATTCCGATTGCTGGAAGAATTACAGCGTTTGAAGAACCGTTTCATCGCTAAAGTAAGCTAATTTCCTCGACCCACCTGTAAGTTTAAAATCTGCAAGAGGCTTCCCTGACCTCGCTTCATAGCAACAGAACCAGGCAACGCGCTAGCTCCTCCATTATGAAAGTCGTGTACATGTACCGCATTGTTTGCCGGCTTTCGATGATGAAATAGGATCTAAGCAACTCTCTTGCTACTGCTGCGCGTTTAGTTGGATTTTGGTAGCGACGTATTATAATTCTATTATAATAATAATTCTATTATAATTATATAATTCTTTGAGTCGTCAGCAAACTATGCTTCTGAGGTTATTTTTTTTAGAACTGTAATAATGTGGTCCAGTTGGGATTCCTAGGTTGTGATACCAAGAAAAATATTGAGAAAACTGGGATGCCGGATGCGGCTTTTTTTCACCTTTTCCTTTTCAGTCACTCGTTAAATCAGCAAAGCTGTGTCGTACTATATACGTAATTTTTAGTTTTTCGCTAAATTAAAGGATATAAAGGCATAGAATAGAAGAGCACTATCAAAGTAAGATTAAGCAACAAAATACTCCTAGAACACTCAAAGGAAAGTCTAAGGTGAATTTTACCCCGACAATGTGCGTTATATTGACCCCAGCATTTGATGCTCGCTACAGTCTCAAAATTCGGTTTATACTTTTCATTCGTTTTTTGATATTCTTGTCCACCCGCGAAAACATACCCACGATCGACCTGCGAAAATCCACCCGGCCCGCGACAATTTACCTGTCACCTACGACAATTTACGCCCCACAGCGAATATTAGACTCTTTACTCCCACTGATGTTATTCTATCAGTCGGATAATGATTTAGTTTGATATCAGTATTATTATTTTGACATGATATGTTTCGTAAACTTCCTAAAATGTGGTCTTTGTTTCAGTTTGATGTAATGTTAAGCAGTGCAGGTCGTTTGTTTTTTGTTGTTGTCGTTTTACAAAGCTTTTTTAACTTTTTAAGAATTTACTCAGAGGAAGAAGTGGATGTTAGATTCTTCTCATGCAAACCAACAAAAAATTTTGCGCCGAATTTCCCATTTCTTTCCATTACCTCTGGGCTTTTTTATTATAGCCCTCGCTCCAATCACTTTTTTCACAGTTAGGTTTGATTAGTTCGAGGCTCTCCCCGCATCTCTGTACGTTTTGAGCTTTTACCGGTAATATAATTTTTTATCTTTGTATCTTCTTATTTCTTTTTAGTGCGTTCATCGCGACCTTTCAGCTAGAAATGTCTTCATTGGAGAAAACCTCGTAGCCAAAGTTGGCGACTTTGGATTGGCACGTGAATTGAAAAAAACATCTCATACGTCTTTCTGTTTCTTCGAAACTTCAAAATTAGTTTCCCCTCAGTTTTTACTGTTTACCTTGTTTTGTTTTAGAGAGAAAACCGTGGAAAAAACTTTACAACTAACCTCAATAAATCTTGTTTACATGCGGTTGCCGGATTTGCAACGCATTGCGCGAATCGCCATGGCGCGTTGCACCCGAGAAGCAAAGTTTGAAGCAGTAGAACGCCACTATATCAATATATATCAATCTAATTTTTTGTTAAGTTATATGAAATTTATCCCCCTTTAGGCGATTAGGTGATATTTAGTGGCAGGAGGAGGTATTCAACACTTTCAAATTAAACTCGAATTTTGGCATTATACGACCAACAAGTTTGGCTTATAGACTTACAGACACAAACATATGAAACTGTTTATTGATATTGTTATGAAACGAATTTATCTATTTAACATTGTAGCCTGAAATTACAGAAACAAAATAGGGTTTCCGGTTTGCAAAAAGGAAAATTTCGCCGGCCCTCAAGCGCACCGGAAGCGCGGAAAGAGCGCTCGTGCCAGTCCTACTCCGCATCACACATTAAATGAAGAGCGGAGCGCTCGTTTCACCGTCCAACCTGTATCCGCCCTGCTAGAACTACTTATCTCCCGTTAACCCTCGTGAGGCTCGGCTTTTGAGTAGCGCCACTCAAGTGCAGTGTCGGGCGGGGTTAGGAACTGGAGGCTGACCCGCCGCGAATATCCTGTCATAAAGGTCCCTTCTTTATTCTTTCTGTATTGTCTGGCTTAATTTTGAAATCTGTATTGAAAAGCCGATCTGCTTTTCTTTTCTGCGGCTGTAAATTCTGTCGGGATCTATATCCACAATCTCCTTGTCTTACTCTGTTTTGACAAATGCATGAGCTCTTTTCATCAGCTCCGCTTTTTTTTTTTAAATCCTGTGCCCGTTTTGCCACGAGACCTCTATCAAAACTTCAATTCCGGGAATTCCGATTGCTGGAAGAATTACAGCGTTTGAAGAACCGTTTCATCGCTAAAGTAAGCTAATTTCCTCGACCCACCTGTAAGTTTAAAATCTGCAAGAGGCTTCCCTGACCTCGCTTCATAGCAACAGAACCAGGCAACGCGCTAGCTCCTCCATTATGAAAGTCGTGTACATGTACCGCATTGTTTGCCGGCTTTCGATGATGAAATAGGATCTAAGCAACTCTCTTGCTACTGCTGCGCGTTTAGTTGGATTTTGGTAGCGACGTATTATAATTCTATTATAATAATAATTCTATTATAATTATATAATTCTTTGAGTCGTCAGCAAACTATGCTTCTGAGGTTATTTTTTTTAGAACTGTAATAATGTGGTCCAGTTGGGATTCCTAGGTTGTGATACCAAGAAAAATATTGAGAAAACTGGGATGCCGGATGCGGCTTTTTTTCACCTTTTCCTTTTCAGTCACTCGTTAAATCAGCAAAGCTGTGTCGTACTATATACGTAATTTTTAGTTTTTCGCTAAATTAAAGGATATAAAGGCATAGAATAGAAGAGCACTATCAAAGTAAGATTAAGCAACAAAATACTCCTAGAACACTCAAAGGAAAGTCTAAGGTGAATTTTACCCCGACAATGTGCGTTATATTGACCCCAGCATTTGATGCTCGCTACAGTCTCAAAATTCGGTTTATACTTTTCATTCGTTTTTTGATATTCTTGTCCACCCGCGAAAACATACCCACGATCGACCTGCGAAAATCCACCCGGCCCGCGACAATTTACCTGTCACCTACGACAATTTACGCCCCACAGCGAATATTAGACTCTTTACTCCCACTGATGTTATTCTATCAGTCGGATAATGATTTAGTTTGATATCAGTATTATTATTTTGACATGATATGTTTCGTAAACTTCCTAAAATGTGGTCTTTGTTTCAGTTTGATGTAATGTTAAGCAGTGCAGGTCGTTTGTTTTTTGTTGTTGTCGTTTTACAAAGCTTTTTTAACTTTTTAAGAATTTACTCAGAGGAAGAAGTGGATGTTAGATTCTTCTCATGCAAACCAACAAAAAATTTTGCGCCGAATTTCCCATTTCTTTCCATTACCTCTGGGCTTTTTTATTATAGCCCTCGCTCCAATCACTTTTTTCACAGTTAGGTTTGATTAGTTCGAGGCTCTCCCCGCATCTCTGTACGTTTTGAGCTTTTACCGGTAATATAATTTTTTATCTTTGTATCTTCTTATTTCTTTTTAGTGCGTTCATCGCGACCTTTCAGCTAGAAATGTCTTCATTGGAGAAAACCTCGTAGCCAAAGTTGGCGACTTTGGATTGGCACGTGATATCTCAGACTA